GAGGCCACCTACTCCAGCTGCCCGGATCTGAAGGACATCCCACTCAAAGGTGCTGAGACTTGGTTTACTGATGGAAGCAGCTATGTCATCAGTGGAAAAAGGCACACGGGGTATGCAGTTACCACAAGCAGAGAGGTAACGGAGCCTGGACCCTTATCAGCAAACACCTCTGCACAGAAGGCTGAAATAATCGCCTGAACTCGAGCCTTAGAGTTGGTAAAAGGAAGAGAGATTAACATTTACACGGACTCAAGGTATGCATTCGGGGTGGTTCACGTACATGGAGCCATTTGGAAAGAGATAAAACTGTTGAATTCGCAAGGGAAGAATAGTAAACATGCACAAGAGATACTGAGACTACTAGATGCAGTGCAACTGCCTGAGAAGGTAGCCATCATGCACATCAAAGCACACCAAAAGGTGAGCTCTGAACTGGAAGAAGGGAACATGCTGGCGGACAGAGAGGCAAAAGATGCAACCAAAGGTGAGGCATTTGAGGAGACAGTGGAAGCAACATTGATCCCAGATGGAAAGGTTTCTATTGAAGATAAGCCAGTGTACAATAAAAAGGATAAGAAACTTATTAAGGCAGAAAAAACAAATTATAATCAAGAACGATGGGCTGTAACAGAGGAAGGGAGACTTGTAGTGCCTTCCTATTTGTTGTGGTCAGTAGTGCAAAAAGAACATGAAAAAACACACTGGGGAATAGATGCCCTGTATAACCATCTGAAAAGAAAAATTATAGGTAGGAAATTACAGGGCACAATAATACAAGTAACTCGTCAGTGTAGCCTTTGCCTCTGAAAACTAATCCTAAAAACATCCCAAGGGCTAAAGTTGGACAAATTGGGAAAGGTTGCGGACCTGGGCAGCAGTGGCAAATCGATTTCACAGAATTACCCAGGAAGGGGGGATAACCTTATCTCCTGGTATTGACTGATACCTTTTCAGGTTGACCAGAAGCTTTTTCTACTAGGACAGCTAAAGCACGAGAGGTAACCAAAGCACTGTTGCAAGAAATAATACCGAGGTTTGGAGTTCCAGCCACCATGTCCTCAGATAGAGGGCCGCATTTTATCTCCAAAATTGTGCAACAAATTAGCCATCACCTGGCGATAGACTGGGAGCTACATACCCCATATCATCCTCAATCGAGTGGCCAAGTGGAAAAGATGAATAATTTGATTAAACAACAAATTGTGAGATTGGGACAAGAGGCAAACCTACCTTGGCCCCAAGCTCTCCCATTAGCATTATTGCAAATTAGGACAAAACCAAGGACAAAAGAAAAATTGAGCCCCTTTGAAATATTATATGGGAGACCATATGCAGTTCAAGAAGGAACCATACTGACACACATAAGGGAAGAAACCCTACATAAGTATATGGTAGCCCGAAATAAACAATTGAGGGAAATTGAAAAATATGTGGCTGGAGCTCAAACCAGAGAATTAGATGGACCAGTACACGATGTACAATCTGGGGATTATGTATATGTTAAGTCTTTTGCAGAAAAAAGCCTGGAACCACAGTGGGAAGGACCCTACCAGGTGCTCCTCACTGCCTTTACTGCAATCAAGATCAAAGAACAGAAGGCCTGGATTCTTCACTCCTGAGTGAATAAAGTCCCTGAGGGAGTCTGGAAAGTGACACCAGGTGACAATGAGCTGAGGTTGAAGCTCACCCACAACAGCGAATAAATGGACCTATAGAAATTATGGACATGATGGAGAAGGTTGTAACTATTATAGCCACTGCCATAGTTTTAACAGGAGCCAATGCAATACCACACAAGTACAACGTAACTCGAATATACCAGTGCCAAGGAAGGGCCTATGATCCCCACTCTCGTAGGGCCTTAAATGAGATTATAAAGGTTACAAATGCACGTTTGTGGGAAGGGAGAAATGTTTGGGGATGTAACTATGCATTTGTGCAGGATGGGTTCCATGAGGCTTACCAATCACCCATGAAACTCATTCGGATTAACCCTGAATGCTGTGACAAATGTTTGAGTAAATGTCCTGAATTTAGATTAAAACTAGAGGGATGTGCAATAAGAGGGTATGATCTTGACTTTAATATCACTCAAGCGTAATATCATAAGAACAGGACTAGAACTACCCCACCAACACAAAAGAAAGCTGTTACTACCCCAAGGCCAGTTATCCCAGAAATAGAAGAGCAGCCTATAGCTCCTACGATTACTAGAATTGGGCCATATACTATTAAGAAAACAGGAATCCAAAGACTGATGGTCAATCCGGAATGGTCTCTGAAGTGAGTAGAAATGGGAATACAGGTAAATGCTTCAGATATCCAGCCAGAGTGTGTCCCATTTCTCAGAAATTCTTTCATGGACTAGGCCACTTGGCTTCAAAAACGAATGTCCTCTAACTTTAGGAGTAAAAAGGATCTCACTGGGCTGCTAGGGACTGGACTAGGAGTGCTAAATACCATAGATTCAGAAGTATTGATGAATAAATTAACAACACTCAAGAATGACTTGGTTAAATTACAGCGACCTCTACAATCTTTGCTACTAGCACTGGGTGACAACCGTTGGCAGTTATCCAAAGTATCACCAGGGTGGGAGAACACCAAAGAGCAAGACCATGAATTAATAATTAATGCATTAGGCACAGCTAGCGAAAACATTTCACTAGCTCTTGGGTGTACTCAAGCACAACTATGGATGCAGTCAGTAGCGGCTGCAGTGCTCAGGGAAGGCGGGGAGGGAATATTCCCTGCTGAGCTCCGTAGAATTGTTTGGGATAGTGCATCTGATATAGAAAGGGAACTGCAAGCTTGGTGGACTTTGGTCAATTTAACTTATAACCCTATGACAAGTAAAGTAACAGCCTTTGTCTTAACAATACATAATGCATCAGTGAGCCTAATTCATCCTATAGTGCCCCTGGGATTAAACCATGAGGGGACTGTGTTATATCCTTCTGAACATAGAACATGGGCACGAGAAATTAGAGGAAAGTGGCAAACCATCAACCTAGAGCCCTGTTCTATGAGGAGGCAACTGGGGTACATATGTGAGGGGACATTAGAAAGTAATAAAGACATGTTTGGATACAGATCAAAGCATTTGCCACTCTGAAATGTATTCAGACAATGAAACAACTTTGCTTGTGTATACAGGACAAGGTTGTGTCTGTCTCAGAACAGCATGCCCCACCATAATGATAGACAACCTAAGCATGAATGAGACTCAGTTCTATCTATGTGTCTGTAACTTTGTCAAAATTGAGGGATGTGACTTCTCATATCAGGCACCTGTAGTATAACACCAGTATATAAAAGCTAATTTAATTACTGTACAAGAAATAGTGCCTGTGCCCATAGGAAAGAATTTGACTTTAATTGCTCAGTTGTTAAAAAATCAGGAACTGAGAGAAATTTTGAAAGGGATTAGAGATGCAGGGAAAAAAGATTTTAATCACTATACACCATGACACAGAAACCATCAAAGAAGTTTTTAAGCTATTTGAGGAACACTTGTCTCATCACTGGTGGGATGTGCTCTTTGGGTGGTCACCAACAGCAACCAGCATACTTAATACTTTTAATTCATCCTATCATTGTGTTGCTTATTTTAGTTAGTATAAGCTTAATTTTGTTTGAGGTGATACTTGTTTGGAATTGGAAAATGATAAGATGAATGACGGCCCTAACTTCATTATCAAAAGCATATGGTTTAGTCTTGAGAGACACTAGACATATGTCTTGGGCAGATGAAGAAAAATCTATATATTGAGTAAAAGAATTTATTCATTGCAAAGAAGAAGTGGGGAATTAAACAAATGTTAAGGAATTTTGAGATTTTAGAAGAGCTAAGATTTTAGTTAGAGATAAGTCTTATTAGAGTTAATTACAATAAATTAATAGGCCCTGATAACGTTAAGAGTTTGTAGTTAACTAATAATTGATTGCTTGTCAACACAATGTTTAGTTAGCTGGGTTTATAATGAAGAATACACAAACTGACAAATAGCTTTTAGGAACATAAGACAGTCGTGGGCCTCCTCTGTTCTGAAACCAATTGAAGACAAGGAATGGGAGTTCTACCAAGAGTTCATTTGTCATATTTGCATTGAAAAGGTAGAAAGGTCACAATGAGGAAGACTTCATTTACTTCCTCATTTTGGGACCCCTCCCCATGAAAGGGACACCGACCCATTTTAAGGAGCAAACTACACATGCTGAATAGCTTTTGAAATTATTAGCATACAAAGTGAGGAATGGGATGTACCAAAACGATGAACATGTATTTGTATTTTGGGTATTCAATACTTGTATGGATAAAAGGGCTCTGTAATCACTTGGAAGGGGAGGTGTGGATTTGGGAGCTATCCCACACACTGCCTAGTGTCGAATAAACATACACTTTCTAACTTTAAACTGTTAGAGAGTTTTTGTCCGTCACAGTTTGATATTGGTATTAGATCAATATCCATATTTTTTTAATAAATAATGAACAACTCATTAAAATCCTAGGAGCTTCAGCTGCACATCAGGATGGCTCAGAACACCCCGGCAGGCATCACTGATAACTACTGAGCACAGCCTCAGTGATGCCAGCTCCTCTAAGCCCCCAGAAGCCAAGTGGCTGCTGGGGAGCAATTGGCACCTCCAAAATATTCCCAAACTTCTTCAAAGCAAGTGGGTTGTGAGTCCTTGCCATGTTGAACTTTTTAAACAACAGTCACATGCTCAGAAATATAAATTAACTTTATTCCCAAGGATGCTTTGACAGAACATTGCCCTTCCAAGGTCAGCACAAACTATAAAATCTGAGCAAACCTGACAATTTCCTGAGGATTATCCACTGGCATCATCCTTCACTCAAAGGCTGTGCTAACTTTAGGAGGATACAGCCAACGACATCCAAGGATGATTATGCAGACCTGAGATTTGGACATTTCTCAAAAGCAGGAACATACAAAATCCTGGCACATCTCCTTCTACATCCATGTTAGTCCTACCTGCCACAAGGTATTTTTCTTTGGAGACTCATCTTCATTCTGATCCTCCATTACTGACGTGTTCTAGAAAAAAAGAACAAATACTACTTCAGCTTTTTACTCTGTGACAATTTCCTGCTCTACAAGCATTACGAAAAAGCAAATCAATTGAACAGATATAATTCATTTTCCCAGTGAATGGAATACTCAAAGAATTCTGGCCACAAAACCTGAGTATTATAAATAAATTCCCCTTTTAACTGACATGTTTATCAATTCCATTTACTGTAAAGATAACTCCCCAACCCCGCTTCAATTTCCTTTGACAGGTTTTCATGCAGCCTTTCAATGCTCTTCTCACTGGGAAATAAATTCACTTTCATCCTACTCAAGCCAAAGCAATTAAACCTGTCAATGTATTCAACCAGCACTTGCTGCCAAAGTTAAATTGCATACAGCTAGGCACAAAAAAAAAAAAAAATCACTATACACTACTTAAATACAACAGAATATGGTTTTTTCCCATCTCCCGGAATAGGGATCATTCTCTGCAGAACATCTCTGCAATTCACTGCCCAGGCTGTGTCTACAACCCTTGGCAGTCACCCCTGCCCTTATTGCAGAATTGCTCCTTACTACTTCTTCCCTCCCCTTCCTTCACCAACAAAAGGAAGTATTTCTATAAACCTTCAGCTGCAAATGTTTCTCTGAGCTCACTTCTGTCTCCCAAAATCATTCCCTCCTTTCTGGCCCTGTTGTTGATGAGCTGCTCCCTTTTGCTGTCCATGGCACACCCACCATCTCCTCCTCCCTGCTCCCAAGTCCCTCATTCCCAGGCAGTTCCAGCTTCCCCCAGCCCTGCCCTCCCCAATCCCATGCCCAGGAGACTGGCAGAGGGTTAGCAGGACAAACTGAGTGCCCTCAAACACCATCTGTATTTATTTCAGGCTTCTTCCCTTCTGTCTCAACAGGAAAAAGGGGCTCAGGTAAAACATATCATGGAGTAAATCACACAATTCCCTTACTCCTGCCATCTTGGATTATGGGTAACTCCTTAGAAACTACATCCACCCGCACTCAAAACACAATTCAATCTCAAAAGCAGTAATCTCCTCCTCTTTCTTCTGTAAGGACATGCTGGACAAACCCAGAGAACCTGGAAAATGGACAGTATCCCATCTATAGCAACCCTTCCTCCCCTGCCCTTCTGCCTTGGTTCAAGCTTACCCTGAGCCCTCCCTGAAGGTGTGGAAAACACGTGGCACATGGGCTTTGGATGACAGGATAAGAACTGCCACCACAGGTGATGGAAAGACCCAACTACCTGGTTATGACACACATGACAATGACACGTACAAGCCCAGGAGGTAACTGGAGGGGAATCCAGAAAGGGAGGAGATGTTTAGGGTGACTCCACAAGAACTTGAATTTTAGTGTTTCTGGATGTCCAAAGAACAGACACCCACACCTTCCATGGTTTTTGAAGCCATAGTCTCTGCAGGGCCATCCCAGTTATTTACAAGTCCTAACCAGCCCCTCTCACTGGGGCACAAACCAGTGCAAGGGATGTTCTCCACCAGCAGGGAACACACAGCAGCCCTCACTGACTGGGACCCAGCCAGCCCACACCAGTTACACCATTCTGGAAAGCAAACATGCCACCAGGGAACTGTGCAGGGTGTCTTTGATTTTATTTTATTTCAATATGAATATGTAGAAATACTTGTTAGAGTGATTATATGTTGTTAACTGTGCATCCAATTAGTGTGTCCTTAAACAAGTAAGGAACATCTCATGTCCTTTGGCAGCTGAAGGCTAAATAAACCCATGGATCCTGGGAGCTATGAGCAAGAAACACTGAGAATATCAAACAGGTGCCTTAGGTCAGCAAATTCAGGAGAAATCCCACATTTTATCCATCTATCCCTCCTAACTTTCCTTCAGCAGGCTATGGTGGGACTCTGCCATTGCATTTCTCCCTATATCAGCAAATATCTCGGAGATCTTTGCCAGCTTTCCCAGGGATGAAGACTAAGAACTGCCTCCTAAACAGGATGTCATTCTAGGAACATGCAATAAACTACAGCATAGCAGCACTGTGACAGAATGCAGGGACACAAATGTCACCAAAACCATCAGACTTTCAACCAGCAGATAGCAAAGTGAGTTTCTCTCTGTGCTGTGCCCCACCTCAATTCCACTGTGCCTCCACTGCTGCCCCAGGAAAGAACTGGGCAGCAGGCTTTGGGGAGAGGCTACAGCCTTGGAATGTCACAGGACCACAGAATCATTAAGGCTGGAAAAGACCACAAGGACCATCAAGTCCAGGCTGTGCCTGATGCCCACTTTGTCCCCAGCCCAGAGCACTGAGTGCCACCTCCAGGTGTTCCTTGGACACCTCCAGGGATGGGGACTCCAAATACACTGCTGCCCATAGACACTCCCATGTCCCATCACCATCTGAGCCACAACTGTGGGGGCAGATAATAGAGCTTGATTCTTAGGCTGGAAATAAATACGGTATTCAAATATTTCACCAGGAAGTTGACAGCTGCATTCATTTAATGGCATCTACTGCTACAGCTTCTTGTGTTCTCTTCTTTTCTCATCCTGACTCATTCCACACTTTCTTACTGTATTTTAGAGCTTTCAAACCCTTCATCCTTTCCCTTTCTGCTCCCAAATACATATTTTGTTTTCCCTATGATATCGTCTCTTCCTAATAAATTTGCTCTGCTTCTCTCTTAAAACACTTCATTTTGGGATCACTCCGCCCATCACACTCATCCCCATTCAGACTCCAATCTCTCTATCCAGCACTTAAGCCTACTAATTGGAGACCAGGAGGTGATGGGTCGATCCTGCCTGGTTGGGTGGAAGAAGCAATTAGACAGTTCTGATCTGTCCTGTCCATTCCCAGCACTTGGCAGAAGAAGGATTTCAGAATTCCTGACAGCTGGTGTCACCAGTCCTGGCTCCTGGGCTCCAGCCCTTGTGCAAGAACACCGATAAGCATCTCCAACTCCAGCTCTTCCCTCCCTTCAGTGGTATCTCTTGCTCACCCCACCCACCTCCACACTACAGCCGGTTTCCCAGGTGGCTTTGAAGTGGCATCACCTCGGAATTCACCCCAATTCCCTGCAGCTCTGCTGCTGAACAACTCCAAGGCCTGATGGAAGTACGGACATCTCATCCTAGTGATCCCAGCAAGGCCGAGCTGCCCTTGCAAACATTCTCCAGATGTGATTCCGACCTCCGCAAGAGCCTTGCAGCTTCTCACAGTGCAAGCAGGGCTTCTAAATATTGTCAATTCATCTTGTTTATAGGTTAATTTTTTCCAGGAATTCCTGTGAAGTTGCTCATGGCTCTTGCAAAAGTAGAATGATTATTTCCAACCAGCTGTCATTCCTTAATTAGTCAGCCTGGAGTAAGTGCTCTCCATCCCTACTGGGAACGGCAGTGATGGCCAAGAGATAACAATGGGTCCAAGCTGGGATGTTTTATTACTGCCTCACAGTTGTTAAAACCCAAGTGAATCGAGTTACACTGAGCAAAGCCCCAGCCTCTATTTCCACTGATTAGAAACCAGAAATGGCAGTAAAATTCACACATTGCTCCACAAGCTGAGCAAGTTTAAAAGCTCATTTCCTGGAGATTTATATCCCACATTCCTTGCTTAGTCCCACAGAAACTTCAGGCTTTCCTTAGTCTTTCTGCTCCACAAAACCTCCAGTTTCTGGGATTTCTATGGGGTGCAGAAAACCATGGCAAAAATAGGTTCACAAGTTACTCAGAGAGAAAGAGGTACTGACAAGCCTAATTACCTTGGGGATTATGAAAAGCTACTGAAATGGAAACAACTATGGGCAATCCCCAAAGGCAAAGATATTGTAGGTATTCTAATACTCCATAAATCATTGTTGCAATTAAGATCCTTGGATACCAGGTAGTAACTGATGTCTCAACTACAGCAGTTCCATAGATGTGAGGTTGTGAGGGACAAAGGCATTCCATGTTTTCCTGCAGGTGAGTGGCACTGCAAGGCTCCCCTCCCTCAGCAGGTGCAGGAAAAGCTGCACCTTTTCCAGCAGAAATCCATCAAACCTGGACAGGCTGCTCCAGATTTCCAGCAGGCTGCTCTTAGCCTGGGTTTGCACTGGGCTCCAGGAGTTGGGAGTGCCTGAGTCACTTAATTCCCAGGCAGGGGAACAGCCCGATGCAGCTTTGTTCTGAAGCCACTGTGAGCTCCAGTATCAGGAGAGCAATTAGGGAAGTGATAGCAGGAAATCCTGGGAACTGGGGCACGACACACGAGTTTCAGCACCGAGCAAAGTTCACAACACTGCTAAACTTCTCTGATGATAATAAAGCTTTCCCTGACAAATAAAGGATTCACAGGCTACAGAGGATGGATGGACAAAACAAGACAACAGTTGTGTTATCTTGAAAAAAAGCAGTCTCATATTTGAGCTTTAATGAAAGGGAAAGGAAGTAAGAACTTCTATGTCTCACTGCCCTTGAAACTGCACTGGGAATTCCCATCTCAGTTAAAGACCCAGCTAAGTCTTCAACAGTCTAACTTGTCACAAGATTCCTGCTCTCTGGAAAAAGAACACCAGGAAATTTCAGTTAAAGTTATGAAATAAGCAAACCCAATTAAACCAATTCAGCTATACAGGTTCTCATGTCTTTAACAAACCACATCTGACTTTGAAGAAGCTGAAGAACCAATACAAAATAACTAATACATACTTGGATACCTCAGAGTCAAACTCTGCAGGTCGAGTACACGGCACTGGAGCTTCAACCCCCTCCTGAACCCAGCTCTGCCACATGAGCACTGCTGGAGGTCCCACATTTCCCAGGGCAAGTGAGGAATCTGCCAACCTCTGGGACAGCTGGAGCCAGCAGCAAGGGAGGAAGCTGGACTGCCATCTGCACTAGCTAAAAGTAATGAGCACTTGCCCCTCATGGCTTCCTGCTTTTAAAAGAGCCACAAACTGCCAAACACTTCAGAGCATTTCCAAATGAAAGCCTCTCCCTGGGGAGAAATGGGCAGCATTTGCTAACCCAGGAATCTGTTA